AACGTTAGAATAAAGTTCTGGGAACGTTAAGAAAACTTTCCTGACTAACCAAAAACAAACCATAAAAAATTACGTTCTGGGAACCAAAAACTAACGTTCTGGGAACCAAAAATAACGTTCCGAGAACGTTCTGGGATCCCAAAATTGTTAGCTGGGTCTGCAGAAGGCGGGGCTTCCTTCGATAATGGATGCAGCAACTATGGCAGCGACGATAAATTTGGTCAAATTAATGGAATTTTTTTTTATCTACAAACAAAACAAAAAGTTATTATACAGTAACGTTAAAAATATATAACGATTCAATTTACCGCACCTTCATAATCTGAATAAAAACAAATAAAAAACAAAACAAAAAAAACTGATGCACATTTTTTATTCATTTTGTAAAAGTATTTTTGTAGATTTTCCGTCAATGCGAATTCCCAGGTGGACTTGAACGTACCATGATTTACAGTTGCATAATTTTTTTTTTTTGCATAATGTTAAAGGGGTCATATGATGTTGCTAAAAAGAACATTATTTTGTGTATTTGGTGTAATGAAATGTGTTGATGCGGTTTAAGGTTAAAAAAACATTATTTTCCACATACTGTACATTATTGTTTGTCCTCTATGCCCGCCTTTCTGAAACACATCGATTTTTACAAAGCTCATCGGTCTGAAAAGCGAGGTGTGCTGTTATTGGCCAGCTACCCAGTGCATTGTGATTGGCCGAATAGCTCAAGCGTGTGACGGAAATGTAACACCCCTTACCATACTGTGACGCAGTGTCCCGGACGGAGCTTACAGATCTTCTTTATGCACCAAGAGCTTGTAACACTTCAAAGACGAAGGAAAAATTGAAATCTACTCATATGACCCCTACTTTTTCACACCACTGTATATATATATATATATGTCTGCAAAGGGAAACAAACAAAAAAGAGTGTGTTAATGTAATACACTGCACTACTACTAGAGTAAAGGGCTGATGGCTGGTGTAGTAAATACACATGCCCGATTACATCACACTGGCCTTACTGACTGCACATTTGTAAAGTGTCGTCACACAATCAAAATGCATCACACAATCAAAATCCTGGCTATTCCCCAGACAATCCATGAAAAATGTACATTGTTTCAAAGCAGCAGTAAAAGTAACAGAAAATGATGGCGTGGCTGAAGATTGCTTTATGCTTCACTGCAGTCTAACAGTTGTTATCTATTAAAGTTTTCAATAAACAACAGTGAATCCTGCTAACCACAAAATCAATCAACAAATCATTCTAACACTCATTCAATTCACCAAGCCTGACTGCTACGTGAGCAGTGCAGAAAGGCATTTTCATATTTCTTGCAAATTTTAAAACATCTTTTAACATTTTACTTACAATGAGATGAACGATCGTGCGGTTATGATGTCCTCTCTAGTGCAATTAGCACAACAAACCGTTATCACAGTCCGATTACAATTCATCGACTGAACTATCAGAATATCCATTGTTACCCATCTTTTCAAGTCGTAATGCTCAAAATGATGGATCACAAAAGGACTTTTCTATTGATTACCAAGCAAGATCAATATCCACTTCTGTATTCAGTCTAGCTTTATGATTCTCATCAAATTTTATGCACAGAATGCATGAGTAACACAATTGACCTGGCAATGTTATAACTTGGCTCAATACATGTTTCAGATAAATAAGAAGAACTAACTAAAACTGCATAGAAAACACAATCAAAAGAGTAGTAAAAACTACAGGACAAAGTGCAATTTAGAAAATTAGGAAAAAAATGCAATTTGGAAATAAATCCCACAAGGTAAAGAAAGCACAATATATTTTTATTGAATTTATTGTTATGTTTTACACAGGTTTTTGAATAGTTATAATATTGGAGATTGACGGTGCCAAAATATAAACACCCATTTTCTTTTTTTTCTCTCGCTCTCATGATCTCTTTAACATTGAATTGATTCCTTTTTTTCCCCATTGTAACAAAAATGAAAGCATGTGAGTACATGTATATAAAAGACAACGGAAAAAAACTACAGTCCAACAACAAGATTCCTGTGCCCATCAATATTAATTACAGGTGATACTTTTAAGGGCCTGCCTTGACTGTTTTCTTTTTTCCCTAACAACAGAAAACGATAGTAAATCAATTCTTAACTAAATGTACAATTGTTAATATCCATGAGCACAAGGAGCACCTTGAACAGAAGGCAAAGGGGAGTGCATATAGTGCTGCAGGACTGGCCAGTTGTTTCTGTAGATCGTCTCGCTTGGTTGCTAACTTATAAACTCTTTCCCCTTTGCTCTGTGGAGATTTTAAAAACTTTGAATGTTTTTGTCCGCAAGAACCAAAGCAACACCAATCTCTGATGGGTATTAGGAATGTAGACAAGGATCCTCAGAACTAAAAAAAAAAAAAAACATAAAATGAGTCAAATTTAAAAAATGACATTTTCCATTCATTTAAACATGTCTGTAAAAGGATATAAATGCAACATCTCAAACATACATTCTTGAGGAATTCCTCTGCGACAATTCGGGCCCGAGCGTTGACTGACAGCTTCATCTCACTGATCTCCTTGTCAATCTCCTCCATGAAATGGATAACAAAGTCCACCAGCTTGTGTTTATACATCTGTTCTGTGTGGAAGTTGGTGATGAGGAAGCTGATGTCATAGCCCTGAAAAGCACAAAAGAGGAAATGAGAAAACATGCTAATCTTGTTAAAAGTTTAGATGCTTCACATGCACATCATCATTCAGCTATGCATTTCAAACCGTAAGGTTTATCACATAAACATGCAATTTTTTCCCCTTAGTCCTGAAGGAGTTGATTTCCAATCCCCGCCTCTTCTATTATAAAATGAATACGTAATCATAGTTTTCTTAATACTAGTGTATCTACTCTGGTATTTATGTTACAGGCACTGTCTGTATTTGGTATCTGAGAGGTGACTGAGGATCTGACCCATGTCAGGAATGCAGTAACAGTGTTTACTCATTTAGCCTGGCTTCCAGAGAATAAATATGTATTTGTTTTGTAATAATTTATCTGAATCATTATATAATCAACGGTTATATTGAACTTTATTCTTATTTATCTTATTATAAGGTTCTCATGATAGCCGTATGAGACATGTGCAGACCAATGCACCACATGCATTCACTAACTCTTACATATGCTTAATGTTTATGATTCTTTTGAGGGTTTATATTCTTTAGAGGGTTTTAATTGCTATATGTTAAACTATGACAGAGAATCATGTATGCTCTGTGTAAATGTATTGTCCTGTTCCAGTGATGTGCTGCAGCTCAACCTTGAAGGGACAAGATATTGCCTATGTTTTATCTGATTGCGTATTTACAAGGTTGTTTTAGGCATGTGACCATGCCAAAGGAACAGTGTCAAGGAGAATCAACAGCTGCACAGATGAGCAGTGCCCTCACAAGATTTATGACTCACCTTACGAATGGAACTTAGTGTCTCCAATATACCGTCTTAAAGAAAAGAACACATTGCTTGGATGTTTCTAGAATTATATGTACTGTTAACCTATCAGAACAACAGATCATCCATATGCCTATAAGTACTAGTGTTTCTGTATTCTAAGTTAGTTCGAGGCTGACTCCTCTTATTCGTTTTCTACGGCTGTTTGGAAGTACTAGTGTTTCTGTATTCTAAGTTAGTTCGAGGCTGACTCCTCTTACTCATTTTCTACGGCTGTTTGGAAGTGTGAAGAACTTTGTCTTCAGTAAACTCTCTGTTAACTCACTGAACTTTAAATTTGACTCCTGGTCTTCATTGAGCATACTGGTCTCTTTATGGGGTTTAACTGTAATTCCCCTACTGTCCCAATGTCCTACTCGACTCCACCAAAAAAACTTGACATGCATGTTAGTGATGGGCACTTTTGAAAACCTTGGAAACTTTTGCATATCATTTGTTTTGAATCTGTTTCAAACTACGAATGTCACATGATTTCAGTAAATGAGGCTTTGCTACGTCATAACATAACAGGCCGATGATCTCTGTGAAGCCATGAACCAATCTCTATGTGGTTTTCACCTAATCTCTGATCAATTCTATAAATCAGTAGACATTTTAATGACACATTTGTATAATAAAAAGGATGAGATGTAGTAGTCTCATATTAGCCTGATTAACCGAGCTCTCCATAAAACGAACAAAACATGCCCTACAAAGTAATAAAATAACACATATTATACAGACACGTCTTATTTAATATTATTAGACGATTTGTTAATTGCATTTAGTTGATTACACTTTCAATAAAACATATGCAATTGGTTTGTAAAAGGTCTTTTTATGCATGTGTGGGCTGTGTTTTGGGATGCATTTACACTATTTTGACCAGCGTGTGGTGTTTCGAGTGCTTCAAAAAAAGTGAAGCATTTTGCAAAGCTATTCATTCAAATGATTCACAGTTTCGAAAAGCTTTGTTTCTCCCATCACTGATGCATCTTTGGTTTAATAAATTACATATCTCTTCATCCCTTGTTCGTTCTTCACAATAGAGCTCACCTCAACAGGTTTCCTCCGCAGGATGAAGAAGTTCTCTGCTCGCATCATCATGAACCTCATAAATTTATGGCACAGGATCTTCTCAATCTCATCAGCCTAAGAAAAGCATGACTATCTTTAGAAGATAATGGCAAGAAAAACACATCGATCATACGCAGTTCATCCTAAATTACTTACCTGCTTGACAGCGATGCTGACTCTCACTGAGTTTATGGACCCCTCAATCAGGACCTTCTCCTTGTCATTGCGGCTTATGACCACAGGCTGCAACAGAAGCTCTTTGCTACTCCTGTATTGGAAGACACACATTGCACACACATATATATATATATTAAAAGACATCACATTTAACACATAAGAAGGACGTGGGGTGTATGAATGTTTCCTCACCTAACCTCCACCTCAGGCTTGTTGTGTCTCTCCACCACCTGAGAGGAGAAGTTCTCCAGACACAGGCTTGAAGGAACTCTTTGCTACTCCTGTATTGGAAGACACACATTGCACACACATATATATATATATTAAAAGACATCACATTTAACACATAAGAAGGACGTGGGGTGTATGAATGTTTCCTCACCTAACTTCCACCTCAGGCTTGTTGTGTCTCTCCACCACCTGAGAGGAGAAGTTCTCCAGACACAGGGCTGCTTGAAGAGTGGCGCGCACCGCGTTCAGGTAGGGTCGCAATGTTGCCGTCTACATACAAAAAGGACAATATTTACTTAAGTAACACTTCATTCTATGACCTCACTGACCTTAAAGGTGTCTTATAGTTATCATAAACACACAGGAACATGATTGTCAGTGGGTGGAAGAGCGGTTTTGTGCTTGGCCATTCCATTGAGTTCGTGTCAGTCATCGTGTCAGTGGTGAAGTGTCAATCATCTGCCTGAACATCACTTACTGACAACTACCGGTTGTTCTAAATGAATTAAACACGTGTCGTTTATTAAATATTTCATCTGTGCAGTGTGATGCGCGTTTATTGTTTTCAATATACCAAAAAGAGGTTTTGTCTGCAAAATCACTGACGTTAGCCAGCTAGCATAAATCAAGACTGACTAACATCACTCGATCAAATGAGCCAAAAACACTGCGCTGACCGCATACAAATGGTTTACCCGAATGCTGCTTATTGGGTCATTTGATTGCTTGCGCTACAATAAATAAACAACCACGGCAACTTTAAGAAATATAAATCTCTTACCATTTTATATGAGGTCTGTGGAGGAAGACGGAAGTCCGCACGCCACGCCTGGAAATGAGAAAACACGCCTCCATTGCGTTCTCACACTCCCGTAATATACCTATTAGAAGTGAATTATTGTTGTTCATATGCTCATGATTTAAATGTATACGAGTGAATGGTATATAATTAAATACATTTCCATACCAATACAAGTTCTTATGTTTCTATTTTAAGCGCGTAAATTGGGAGAAAAATATAAACACCAAAACGACCGTTATCATTTCACATCTGTTCCTGTATTTACGGTGAAGCCCAACACCAATCTTACCATTATTTGCTTTTTCTTCCTTATATGGCAAATAACACGATGGGTCTTATTCACTGTAGTCCAAAAATTTGATGATCTAGAAATATCACTGTGTTGAAATAAACGTTAACTCTTTTGTGGCTTTAAACAGCACATGCTTCTCTAAAAAAGAAATAATCTTTAATTATAGTGTTTGGACCATAGACTGTATAAAAACAGGTTTGGACGCGCTTCAAACGGGAATGTACCATTCCGTACGCTGCGGTGTTTTGTGGTGGATGTTAACTGCCAAGTGGGGATATTCATCTGATATTGAAAAATTTGTTTGCAGATAGTACATACACATCGGTTAGAATGTGTTAATAAACCATACGTTGACCATATTTAAGCCACTGTAATACACATTCTTGTTATTAAAATTTAAGCGGTGAGCTGTCACCCCCCGAGCTGAGATAATGGTTTGGTCAGTAATGGATGCCCCTTCATCGGAGGTAAACAATTATATTTTATGAATAAATGCCTTGTATGGGTTCAGTTCTGTATTATAACATATTATTTAATTGTCTACATGCATCTTTTCACTGCAAGTAATATACATATTTATTGTAAAAATGTTACGACCTGTGGTTTGAACTGCATGTAGCTGAATTAGCATGAAGCCGTTAGCTCACAGTGGCTACTCATTATCTCACACCGGTATCGTATCAGTATTACATAACAGACTAAAAAGACATTACAGTGATGCAATGCATAAAACATTAAAATTTTTAATCTATAAACCTTATGAATAACATCTACAGCAGTACATCTGTTCTGGGTTTGCTTGCATTGTCTTTCTGTGTAACTGTTTGCTTTTACCACCTGACCAAAATCATTTACAGTCTGTTATTCATTAATAGTAAAGAATTTATCAAACCATTTTGGACGCCTCACACAACCCTTTTTTATATTCCTTTTTTTCCTCTCAGATATAGGTTCCTGTTAATGAGAAGATGAGTGAACTGAAGGACTGTCCCCCTCTGAAGTACTATGACTTCAAACCTGTGGACCATTTGAAAGTATGTCCACGCTACACAGCAGTGCTCAGCCGCTCAGAAGATGATGGCATTGGCATTGAGGAGCTGGACACGCTTCAGCTGGAGCTGGAAACACTCCTCTCCTCTGCGAGTCGGCGTCTCAGAGCGCTGGAAGAACAGAGACAGGTGAGCAGTGTTTTGCTATTTATCTTTCTCCCACCTTCTGACTATACCTAAAATGATTTATGTTTACTCTCTGAAACAGATACTTACAGACTGGCAGGACAAAAAAGGGGACAAAAGGTTTCTGAAATTAGGGAAGGATCCAGATCTCGCAGCCTCTTCTCGTCATTCCAAGCCCAAAAAACAGAAGCTTGATGGAAAGGGAAGTCATGGTCCCGGACCTGGGCCAGGTAGACCGAAGTCTAAGAACATACAGACCAAGGTCCAGGACTTTGAATTTGAAGTGGACCCCCAAGATATACCCCGCAACCCTAAAAATGATGCTCCCAACAGGTTTGCTGCAACTGAATGTTTTGTCTGTGATACATAATGTATATTTATAGGAATATAGACCAGATATAATATACAGATCAGATTTTCGCCATCATTTTTCATACTACCTAGATGTTAAATTAACTTGTTTAAATTAAACATCTATACTTTTTTTTTATTTCATGCTTTATTGATTCCAGAGGAGACATGTTAAGTTATGAGTATTCAGTCATTTTTCAGTCATTTTTTTATTGAATATTATTTAAACAGATCCAAGCCTGGAATTTTATTCACCAATTAAATGCGTTAAATTGATCAAAATTGACAATAAATATATTTATAATACAATAATTTACAAAAGGTTTATTTTTTTTAAATAAATACTGTTCTTTTGAACTTTCCATTCATCAAAGAATCCTAAACATATATATATATATATTGGTTTCCACAAAAATATTAAGAAATGTAACAAATATAAAAATATGAATATTATTAAATAATATTACATAAAAAAATGTATTATTATTAAATATAAGAAGCACTATATTCAGTATTGATAATAATAAGAAATGGATCATCGGACACTAAAGACTGGCGTAATGGCTGCTAATATTCAGCTTTGCCATCACAGGAACAAATTACATTTTAAAATATATTCAAATAGAAAGAAGTTTTTGTAATACTGTAGAATTGTAATATTTCACAGCATTTTCACAATTTTTACTGAATTTTTGATCAAATAAATGCAGTTTTGTTGAGCATAAGAGACTTCTTTCAAAAACATTTAAAAATATTACCGACCCCAAACTTTTGAATGATTGCAATGATTGCATTTTTGTGGTTATATATGTGTGTAAAACAGATTCTGGGCTTCGGTGGAGCCTTACTGTGCAGACATTACAAATGAAGAGATCAGAGTTCTGGAAGAGCTGCTCAAACCCCCTGAAGATGAAGCTGAATACTACAAGGTAAAGATCTTTTAGAAACCAGTTCATGCTCTATATTACTGCAGCTTTCTCTTTCCTTTCCTTCAATTAATTATGCATACAGAGAAATTCATGTTAAATGGCTTTTGTGTTGGTTGTTCACTTCTGAGCACTCACTGTTGGTTTTCTTTGCAGATCCCAGCTCTCGGAAAGCACTATTCCCAACGCTGGGCTCAAGAGGACCTGTTAGAAGAGCAAAGAGAGGGGGCAAGAGCCAATGACAAGAAAAAAAGCATGATGGGTCCTCTTTCTGAACTGGATGCTAAAGGTAACGGTGTCATTTAAGATGTATCTTGATTTCAGTTGCAACATTGTCATTTGTTGTTGTGTCTTACCTTAAATCTGTTTCTTTTATGCTCTACTATTCTGGTTTGGGTAGATGTAGACGCCCTACTGAAGAAATCAGAGTCTCAGCATGAACCTCCTGAGGACGGCTGTCCTTTTGGCCCTCCCTCACCCAAATCATTTACAGTCTGTTATTCATTAATAGTAAAGAATTTATCAAACCATTTTGGACGCCTCACACAACCCTTTTTTATATTCCTTTTTTTCCTCTCAGATATAGGTTCCTGTTAATGAGAAGATGAGTGAACTGAAGGACTGTCCCCCTCTGAAGTACTATGACTTCAAACCTGTGGACCATGTGAAAGTGTGTCCACGCTACACAGCAGTACTCAGCCGCTCAGAAGACGATGGCATTGGCATTGAAGAGCTGGACACACTTCAGCTGGAGCTGGAAACACTCCTCTCCTCTGCGAGTCGGCGTCTCAGAGCGCTGGAAGAACAGAGACAGGTGAGCAGTGTTTTGCTATTTATCTTTCTCCCACCTTCTGACTATACCTAAAATGATTTATGTTTACTCTCTGAAACAGATACTTACAGACTGGCAGGACAAAAAAGGGGACAAAAGGTTTCTGAAATTAGGGAAGGATCCAGATCTCGCAGCCTCTTCTCGTCATTCCAAGCCCAAAAAACAGAAGCTTGATGGAAAGGGAAGTCATGGTCCCGGACCTGGGCCAGGTAGACCGAAGTCTAAGAACATACAGACCAAGGTCCAGGACTTTGAATTTGAAGTGGACCCCCAAGATATACCCCGCAACCCTAAAAATGATGCTCCCAACAGGTTTGCTGCAACTGAATGTTTTGTCTGTGATACATAATGTATATTTATAGGAATATAGACCAGATATAATATACAGATCAGATTTTCGCCATCATTTTTCATACTACCTAGATGTTAAATTAACTTGTTTAAATTAAACATCTATACTTTTTTTTTATTTCATGCTTTATTGATTCCAGAGGAGACATGTTAAGTTATGAGTATTCAGTCATTTTTCAGTCATTTTTTTATTGAATATTATTTAAACAGATCCAAGCCTGGAATTTTATTCACCAATTAAATGCGTTAAATTGATCAAAATTGACAATAAATATATTTATAATACAATAATTTACAAAAGGTTTATTTTTTTTAAATAAATACTGTTCTTTTGAACTTTCCATTCATCAAAGAATCCTAAACATATATATATATATATTGGTTTCCACAAAAATATTAAGAAATGTAACAAATATAAAAATATGAATATTATTAAATAATATTACATAAAAAAATGTATTATTATTAAATATAAGAAGCACTATATTCAGTATTGATAATAATAAGAAATGGATCATCGGACACTAAAGACTGGCGTAATGGCTGCTAATATTCAGCTTTGCCATCACAGGAACAAATTACATTTTAAAATATATTCAAATAGAAAGAAGTTTTTGTAATACTGTAGAATTGTAATATTTCACAGCATTTTCACAATTTTTACTGAATTTTTGATCAAATAAATGCAGTTTTGTTGAGCATAAGAGACTTCTTTCAAAAACATTTAAAAATATTACCGACCCCAAACTTTTGAATGATTGCAATGATTGCATTTTTGTGGTTATATATGTGTGTAAAACAGATTCTGGGCTTCGGTGGAGCCTTACTGTGCAGACATTACAAATGAAGAGATCAGAGTTCTGGAAGAGCTGCTCAAACCCCCTGAAGATGAAGCTGAATACTACAAGGTAAAGATCTTTTAGAAACCAGTTCATGCTCTATATTACTGCAGCTTTCTCTTTCCTTTCCTTCAATTAATTATGCATACAGAGAAATTCATGTTAAATGGCTTTTGTGTTGGTTGTTCACTTCTGAGCACTCACTGTTGGTTTTCTTTGCAGATCCCAGCTCTCGGAAAGCACTATTCCCAACGCTGGGCTCAAGAGGACCTGTTAGAAGAGCAAAGAGAGGGGGCAAGAGCCAATGACAAGAAAAAAAGCATGATGGGTCCTCTTTCTGAACTGGATGCTAAAGGTAACGGTGTCATTTAAGATGTATCTTGATTTCAGTTGCAACATTGTCATTTGTTGTTGTGTCTTACCTTAAATCTGTTTCTTTTATGCTCTACTATTCTGGTTTGGGTAGATGTAGACGCCCTACTGAAGAAATCAGAGTCTCAGCATGAACCTCCTGAGGACGGCTGTCCTTTTGGCCCTCTTACTCAGCGGCTTCTACAAGCACTGGTTGAGGCCAGTGACTCATCATTTTGCTAAAATAAGTACTTATATTGTGCAACATTTAGTCAGCTCAGCTTGTTTTATTCATATCCTTTTTCATGTATGTAGGAAAACATCATATCCCCTATGGAGGATTCCCCCATTCCAGACATTCCAGGGAAGGATGATGGGGCTGGAACATCACCTCGTAGCCAGGGTAAAGCCTTCAGGTAAATGTTTTGTCCATGTTTTATTTTATGATTTAGTCAATTAGTGATGTTTACTTGTTTATTTTGACCATTCAAAAGTTTAGGGTTTGTAAGATTTTTTAAAAAGCTTCTGAAATGCGTATCTTATGATTTCCACAAGACAATAAAAACAGTAATATCGTGAAATATTACAATTTAAAAGAAATATTTTCTATTTGATATATATAAATTTTTTAAAGTGTTTTAAAAAAAAAAATGTTTTAAGTATTCCTTGATGAATAGAAAGTTAAAAATAACATTTATTTGAAATAGAAATATTTTGTAACATTATACATTTTATAACATTATAAACTATGAAACATTATAAATCTTTACTGTCACTTTTGATTGTTTTAATGTATTCTTGCTTAAGTTGCACCAGCACTACTTTCAAACGCATTTAGGTGGATGTTTTTGGCTGTTGGGTTTTTTTTGGCACTGTTTTTTGAGGTTTGAAGCTTTGAAGATGTCATGTCAAGTTAAAAATACTCTTTGTTTTAACCCCTCTCAGCACTCGTTCTGAAACTATAAACATTCTGACTCATTTGTTGTGCTTTGTCGAAAGCAGAAACTCATAAGGTTTGGGTCAGGTGAACCTGAAACCAGCCTAATCATTTAGGGCCAATTAAGATTGATCAGTTAACTAGTTGTTCAGGCAACCTACCAGCTAGATGATTTTGAAAATAGTTTTTTTTTTTCATTGCCTTTGCTTGTGTACAACAGAGACCGAAAAATGAGTTATTACAATATAAAAAGTGAGACTACGAAATGCCCATTTTTAGCTAAATTAGCAGTCTTCATTCTCTCTATCTTTCACTTTTTGTAGTCAACATGAATCAGCACTCACAACTCATTTTTACTTCTGTAATGCGATGCATTTTTGAGTGAAACTGGATATTCAGTAATGGGAAAAAACATGGATTTTATACATCAGGATTGGATGGTGACAAGTAGAGCAGAATATATGATAACTAGCTGTTGGTTAACATTATTCAGTAGCCTCCATGGCCTGGGTGACATCATTCAAAAAAGATGACAGATGACAGAGAGAGAGAGAGAGGCAGAGAAAGCAATTACATTTTGATAAAATATCATAAAAACAAACTTTGAAAGAATTTTTCTTGAAAATAACAATTGTCTTCATCAATAAAGTAAATAGATTCAATTTTATTTTTTTAATTTTCTCTTGTTCTGTTGCTCCCAGTGTGCCTCACACACGCTCTCTGGAGGCTCGTATAAGAGAAGAGCTGGTGTCTCAGGGGCTGCTGGACTCTGATGAGAGGCAAGGTGTCGGAGGAGAGTCTGAAGACGAAGTGCTGGCCGAGCTGCAGAAAAGACAGGCTGAACTCAAAGCGCTGACCGCCCACAACCGCTCGCGCAAACAGGAGCTGCTCAAGTGAGTCTCACTGAAAGAGCCTCAGATCCAGATCAAGACTGCCGTCAGCACAAGATGAAATCTGGCTCATGAAAATAAGCCTGTAATCATTCAGAGTTAGAGGGAGCAGTCTGATGTGACAAGTTATGATTTTCTTTTCTAATGTCACCTCTTACTTTTCACCGTGTTCTTGCAGGTTGGCACGGGAAGAAATGCGAAAACAGGAGCTTCGACAGCGGGTTCGAGTGGCTGACAATGAGGTTATGGAGGCCTTCCGGCGCATCATGGCAGCCAGGCAAAAGAAACGCACTCCAACAAAAAAAGAGAAAGATCAGGCTTGGAAAGCTTTGAAAGAGAGAGAAAGTATTCTCAAACTCTTAGATGGATAAATATGACCGGCAGCTATAATGTGGTGTGTTTTTTTTTTCATGTTTGTTGTCTATGGACACTTCATAAAGACAGCTTCAACATTCAGACAACCTTAAGAGCATGTACACAAACATTTAATATAATGTTCATCTGTTTTGCTTACTCTCTGTCTAAAGTAATACCTGACATGACTAGTTGTGATAAATAAAAGTGCCACTGACTTGACATTGTTGATGCCAGAAGTATGGCACCTTGAGTTTACTTTTTTATTGTTTTTGGCCTTTCTGTACAGTTCCCAAATGCAACTGATTAACATAACGGATTGATATGGTTAAAGGAATAATTCACCCCAAAATGAAACTTCCGAACCTGTATCACTGACTTTCTTCTGTGGAACATAAAAGAAGATATTTTGAAGAATGTTGGTCACCGAACAGTATTGGCCATTGCATGGATAAAAACACAGGCATTTCTTCTTATGTTCCAGAGAAGAAAGAAAGTCATAGAGGAACAACATGAGGGTGAGGAAATGACATGGGTGAACTTTCTTTAAAGCTATTCTCATAGTGTTGATAGTATTTTGTTACTACATGGGGTAGAGCAAGAACACAGTATTTTGAGTTTTTATATGATTGAAAGAAAATAAAAGCTTTTATAAAGGCATTGTACATGTAAATATCGAGATTATAAATCCATGTATGTAGTCATTTATTTCAGTCCATGTTGAATTTAGTTGTATCTGACATTTTGTAAACTTTTTCTAAACCATCAGCATCATCATTGCGGATGCATGTATGTGTGTGTTTGAAAATAAAAACGAAATTTTGATAAATTAATAATAGACTGGTGTTCGTATCATCTATTCTCTCTTCTGTATGCAAAGCTTTGATCTGAAGTGTTGTGACGGGCTGTCTTGACAGGAGGGCGCCATTTCGTGTTTACACACTTGATCAGTGAGCAAACCATCGTTGCTCTCTGCTCTTACGTTTTTACCTCAGAATAAGGACTTGTTCTTCACTGGTGAGATTGAATGTCCTTTACTTTACAACTTTATGTTCGCAATATGTATTATCTGTCAGTTCTTCTGTATCGTGTTTGCCAGCCAATTTATGAAGACGCAAACGGGGTGTGCAGAAAATGCTGTATGCAACTAACGTTAACGTTAGCAGTCTAGCCGCTTCACCTGTAAAATATAAGCTTTGAGGTGAAGTATTGAGGTAAAATGACCAGCGTGCAGCCTCTTAGGGAGTTAAAGCAAGGAAACTGGGGAAACGGTGATGTTGCTCAAGTTTTAACGACCTGACGCTACTGTTTCGCGATAGAATCGTTCATGAAATGAAATGGTTGAACCAGTTCACGAGTTTGACTGAAATATCTCAGAGCGGTTGAGTAAACAAATCATTGGATCAACTGAGCACCGTCATCGCACACGTCCGATTTGTAATCAGCCGAGAACTGTTTGGTGAGCTGATGCAACTAGAAATTACAAGAAAAGTAAGGAACATTCATAGCCAAGCCAAGAGATGATTTCCTTGAATGTCAGTAAACCGCGCAATGACGTTTTACGTTCTGACGCAAAAGAATCACTGATTCACTTTTTCAAACCGTTTGAAAGAACCGATTGGCAGAAATGTATCGGTGCATTTTTTTTTAACAATGAACACAACCAAAGTTAACCTTTAAAGGGTCATATGATGCGATTTCAATTAAAATTGACGCGTTTCAGAAAGGCGGGGCATAGAGGAGAAACAATAATGTACAGTATGTGGAAAATAATGTGTTTTTTGAACCTTAAACCGCATAAACACATTTCTTTACACCAAATACACAAAATAATGTTCTTTTTAGCAACATCATATGACCCCTTTAAGTACACCAATCGTGGCAAATGAAATCCAATACTAAGATAAACAGAAGTATATTAATTAAAAGAACAAAGGAAAATAAATTTTTTTGTTTTTATTATATTTATATGTATATTTATTTTAAACATTCATATTTCAGCATCTTGATAAGCAAATAGCATAAATGTTGTGGTTTGTAAATCAACTAATCAAAAGAGACAGCTTGGTGGCCTTGCTGTAATGAACAGTAATTTTACAGCTTTGTCATTTCTGGTTAATTTTAATTATAAAGGTAGTGACCCAATTCCATTTTAAAATGAGTAGAAGTTTTTGCATTTGTGGATAAAAAAAAAAGTAAATATAAGTAAATGTATAATATACTATATTTAAAATTCACCATAATTATTATAGGAAAACATTACAGTGTTTGTATTCTTTTTAACGAAAAATGCAAAATCACAGCAATATCATAATTTGTTTAAAACATTAAGTAAATGTACCCTCTAATTTGTGGTGACGTCAAGCAGATTTGGCATGTGCCAGAATGTGCGGGAGAACGGCTTGCACCCTTGCGGCGAATGAGCTCAGTCGTGCGGCTAACTATCGAGACCGGACGGGACAACGACACCGGCCCCGATGGAAGGATGGAGACAAATACTGGCCCTCATACAACAAGAGTCCTCAGTCCTTCAGCCCTGTACTGCTGTCCAACAGACACTTCAACAAGGCATGTCAAAACATATATGCACAACATTTGTCCCTGAAGAACAGCTGTTTAATGAAGCACTTTCCATAGGATGCCCCTGTAGATGAGTGTGTGTTGGCAGCGATGCGCTGGGGTCTCGTCCCGGCGTGGTTCAAAGAGAATGACCCCAGTAAGATGCAGTACAACACCTCTAACTGTCGCAGTGAGAGCCTGCTAGAAAAGAAGTCTTACAAGGTAGGCACATAAGACACCCTCATTCATTTTACATGAGCAGTGAAATGGGGTATCCCCGCACAATGCAAAATCTCATTGGTCTAAAATTCAGCTCCACATAATAGAGTGCAACAGTTGGATCCCCAAAAGTAAAAATCTCATTCATTTTTCTTCCATAGGGGATTTGGTTTTTAACAACAACCTATAAACCATTAAAGACAGACCTACTGTGAGCTACAAGGTTGTTAATCGATGGTATATGCTTTCGTTGACACCGTCAGCCCCCAATTATTTTTTAAATAATGATGTTTAACAGCAGAATTACTGGTGAAAAACTAAATTACCCATGAATCGGCAGAGAAATCTCAACCAATCAGAAAATTGCGACAAATCACAACAAAAAAAGAACTATTTAATGATGTAATCAAATCATTCTTCCTACACTCTCAAACTACTTTAATATTTGTATGCGTATTTAGCAATAAATAAAATGTGCTATTTTTTCCCCAAACCATTTAAGCGCAAACCCCACCCCGCCACATATTCTAAAGATTTCATTGTTTATGAAATTGAGTGATTGAGTTGACCAATGAAATTGGTAGCGGTGCAGGGTTTCATTCAATTCGGGCCACCAGCCTGCATTATTTCAACTTATATTTTTAAATAGTCATGTTTAATAGCAGAATTACTGCTGAAAAACTAATCTCCACCAGCCAGAGAATCATGACAAGCGAATTGCACCAAAAAAATAATAAAATAAAAAATCAACAGCTGCTCACTCCTATGAAGCACTATGGATGACGTAGAGTCAGTTTCCTAATGTTCCCTAACTACTTAAATATTTGTATTATACATATATTTATTCATAATTCTCCAGATCTCTTCTTTCGATGAAGAACAAAGTCATCTGCATCTTGGATGGCCTGAGGGTGAGTACAGTTTCAGCAAACTTATATTTTTGGGTGAATTTCTTTAAGACAGTTAAGCGCTCATTTGCCAAGTATTCAGTGTGTAGTAGTGTGCATTTGACATTGTTCCTTTTTCATAATTAGATGATGAAAATAAACATTCATGTAATTTATAATAGTTAATAAAAGTTGATTTGTGGACACATTTCATTCGTTCATTTCAAATAGTCCCAGTTATCACTTCTCAATAAGTGTACAGCAAACACACAATGTACAGCAGTTTTATTCAACAACTTAATTTTATTTCCATTACTTTGAAATACATTTATCTTGAACAATGTATATGCTGTGCATTTTGTTTCATTAAATGCCATGAACAATTCCGTTTTCCCCCAATGTTGTCTAGTTGTGTTTATTTGTATATAATGCAACACAGATAATAATACAAATAATTACAATAATAATGAACATACAGACAGGAAAAGATCAGAGTGATACTGAGCACTTAAATTCTCTACCATCCTGAGCTACTGGTAGAGTCTGGGCAAGATATGAATGAATAGAAAAAACAAAAACGACAAGAGATGGCCTACGCCACTACTTGTTCACGGCAGACTCGTGGTGTTTCGGTCATGCTGACATGGGATCGACGATTACAAAAATACACAGAAATACTAATTGTCATAATAGTATGAATTGTAGATCATTTAGATGTAATATCTAAATTTCCCAATCGCATGGTTTGCTATTCGTGTTTTTGTGTTCCATTTTGAGGACAGTGATTGGGCGTACACTGGATTAATTGACTGCAGTTCTCAGATGTAACAGAGGGGGCAGTGTTAGACCTCCAGTGCTTCGGGACTTCACAAACTGAGGAGCGTTTTTGGGTTCACGACTTTAAGATGCAAATGTAGCATGCTTTACGTCAGGCCGCCATTTTATTTCAAGCAGAATGATGAAGCAGTTGAACATGACGGGTAGTTCTGGTACCAACGTACACCTCTGATACACCCCCCATCTTTCAGCGTTTCACGTCACATGTATTACAACTGCACTGCAGGACTGGATCATATAAAAAAAATCTCAAGAGCCATTCAAGCGTTGTGAAGAGTTCCAGTAGGACTTTTTATGTGGGTGAGGCGACAGTTCTGCAGAACCGGTGCGAGGTGTCGAGATTTGTGTACGAAAACAGGTGTCAGATTGAGCCTCTTGAGCATATGTGTGTGTTGTGTCGTGACTAAGGCTTTGAATGCGAACTGTGAAGGATACTGAATGAGAGGAAGTCTGCTCATCTACAAAGGCCAGTGATTATAGAGTTAAGGGGAAGGAAGGAGATGAAGATCGGGTGAAAGAAAGAACGCATGAGAGAGAGGGAGTGAGGCAGAGACAAGGCCAGAGAGGCTGAGGGTGAAACGCTGCGCCCCCTGGAGGTCCTCAGCAGCTACAAGTCTCTGCTGATGGCTTGGCTCTATCATTCCGGTCTAGTTTAATTGGCTCGGGGAACTCGTTGTATAACTCCACTTCAGTTTCCTACAAAATAAAAAAGGGCCACAGTTAAGTGCCACAATTGTCACAAACTCAGAGGGGGAAAAAAAATCTGAATTTCGAGATGTAAACTCAGAATTGTGAGAAATAAACTCAACATTATGAGACAAAAAAAATCAGAATTACGAGATATAAACTCACAATTGTGAAAAAAGAAGTCATAATTGTGAGGAAAGTTCAGTTACCTTTATTTTTTATATTGTGGCGGAAACATGCTTCTACATATCACTGTTGAAAATGTTGTACTCGTTTAAATTAGAGTGTGTATTTATTAACTCCCGTAGTTTGTTGTTGTTTCGTCTCATCAATGTCTTTTTCGACTAAGAAACGGCAAGCAGTGTTGCCACCTTGTGGTCAAACGAATTAGTGTGAAAAAAACAATGGCACATTTTTGAGCTGAGCGTACAGCTTACGCACGGTTAGAAAAATCTTGACTGTGCACATAATATGCTAACGATGAAATTTGCATCATATGCACAGGAGGTTATGCTACGCCTACGTCATCCGCTGGAACGCCACTCTCTAATGAATGCGTTTATGACAGTTAGCGGAAGCTAGAGATTACGGTTTATAATGTTTTAAATACGGATATTTTCAAATGCATTGCTTCGCTTCAGAAGGCCTTTATTAACCCCCCGGAGCCATGTAGAGCACTTTTTATGATGGATGGATGCCCTTTTTTGGGCTTCAAAATTTCAACCACCATTCACTGTCATTATAAAGCTTGGTAGAGCTAGGACATTTTTTAATATAACTCTGATTGTATTCGTCTGAAAGAAGAAAGTCATTTACACATAGGATGGTTTGAGGGTGAGAAAATCATGGGGTAGTTAAAATTTTTGGGTGAACTATCCCTTTAAGTATACTTTGGGCTTCATCACTTCGTTTCCGCACCTAACGCAACACACATATTTCAACAAACATACCTGTTTGAGTGCATTGCGCGCGATGGTCTGGAAAGCCTGCTCTACATTGATGGCCTCCTTTGCACTGGTCTCAAAGTACGGGATGTTGTTCTTACTCTGACACCAAGCCTGTGCCCGCTTGGTTGTTACCTGAGGGTGAAAAATATGAAAGAACAAAAATGTGAACTTCGCAAAGACTGCGATTAAGGTCATAGATACATGATTATGTTAAAAATGAGAAAAAGTGAACAGTGTTTGCCCATGCGAAAGTCTCCACCATGATACTAGGCAATATGGCTCAGGCCCTTCAATGTACACAACAGTTTCATAGTTTGAATCAGTGAGAATACAATCAATTGATCAAAAGTGACAGTAAAGACATTTATAATGTTACAAAAAAATCTCTTTTTCAAATAAATTATGTTCTTTTGTTTTGAACTTTCATCAAAGAATCCTGGAAAAAAAAAGCATCATGGTTTCCACAAATAGATGAGCACCAAATCAGCATATTAGAATGATTTCTGAAAGATCATGTGAAACTTAAGACTGGAGTAATGACTACTGAAAATACAGCTTTGCCATCATAATGATAAATTACATTTTAAAATATACTTGAATACAAAAAAGTTATTTTAAATTGTACTGTAATAACATTTCACAATATTATTGGTTTTACCGTATTTTAGATCAAATAAATGCAGCCCTGGTGAACATAAGAGACTCCTTTCAAGAACATAATTCTTAGCCATCCTAAACTTGTGATTTTTGTGGCTGCCAGATGAAAAATACATAAGTCTTCTCCACAACAAGTTTTTTGAAGTGTCATTCACTGGAAGTTCAGCTACTTAAAACTTCTCCAAGACACTTTACATGTATATGGAGAGAGTGCAGCTGGTCCTAAATTAGCTCCCTTGGCCTCTTAGAATGTGACATGATCTTGAAATATATATACATGCTTCTATATGTACATGGGTCAACAACATGATTTTTGTACAGACCTCTGTAGTAGAGAGCTTATTCTAAAACGCATAAAAAATGCAACACACCTCAAATATGGTGAGCATGTTTTAAATTGTGCCTCTAGTGCGCCTATGTTCTACGTTGGCCGGGCCCGAACAACTTGACCCACCCTCAAACATGTAGCTTGTTCATGTCAAGAAGACGCTGTGTCCTACGCTGTGAAAGTAAATTTGTTTTATTTTCACTTCCGAATGAAGAGGCTGCAAAGAATCTGCAAAGAAAATTAATAAAATTCAGTACAACCCCAATCTTTTTTGTGCTCCTGTCATTTTACTAATGGCCGCTTCTCTAATCTCGGGATTCACAAAACGCTTGCTCTTGAAAGATGGATCAGTGCTCAGTTTATTATCACAACAGACTGGGCCATCTGACCAATCAGAGCAGAGTAGGCTCATGGAAAGGAGGGGTTTAGAGAGACTGAATCTCAGAA